GCGCCGCCCATGGACACTCGAAACACCAAGGCGCTACAAGTGCGTTACCGGCCTTTTGGGAATTAGGAATTTGAGGATTGTGGAGGATTCGGGGATTCAGGAGACGAGGACTAGAGATGGGGTAATGGGGCCTCCGGTAACCTTACTCACACGACGAAACACAACGCAAGCGTTGTTTCACGGCGGTTTTCTGCTCGGTCGTGGTATCACTCCGATCGAGCCGACCCATTCTTGCGAAAGCATGGCTCTCCCACACTTATTTAATTCTTACTATCAAATCGATTGAAATTTCCTCGCATAAACAAAATACAGCTGCTTCTAACCACAATCAAAATCTCTTTAGCTTAAAGGTCAAGCTCGGGGAAACTGTACCATTTGAATATTTTTGCGACCTATTTCTAGCTGATACAGAAATAATAAGATACCTATCGTAAGCTTCCCTTGCAACTCATAAAATAGATCCACGAAACTAGGTTAAGTGTAAGTGCTGGCAACATTTAAACGGTACGTTGCGCTAAATATTGCAGCGACGCCATTTTTGCGGCTGGTAACATTTTGATTATGCGCTTTAGATATAAGTTGAGTTTAAAAAGAGGATAGTTTATCACAAATGGGTTTGAGCTCCGTGAAAATAATCACTAAGGCTACACAGCTTTTAGTAGAAAGTCACAAAAATATTTGTATAATAACTATCGTGAGACATACTAAATAAACTAAAAATCCAATTAACTCACGTGGAAATGTTAGGAAAAGCTCTACTAGTTTCGAGCCACAGAGGGGATCTTTAGGAACTTTTCTCAATAGTTTCACGTGAGTAACCCACGACAATGAGTTAAGTCAAAAAAAGTGGGAATTACAAAGCAAGCAAGAAAAATCATCTCAATATTTTCTTTCTAGAATTTGCTTGCAAAATTGACCATTTTATTTCCACCCCTAACCAAAACCATCACAAGATCAATACGAAAACTTTCCGAAGTCAATACAACAACCACTTTACCCGGAAAACAATACACAAACAATTTGATATTCATATACAAAACAATATCTAGTTTTGTAGTAAAAGCCGGAGTCAGACCATGAACCTTCATAGCGTCTTCAAACTTTTTTAATATCAGAGGAGTTGGAGTCGGAACTCTTCGTTTATACGAATTTTGAACAGCGGGTTTATTGTAAGGTCTAGGAGTGGCCACGAGATGTTATTATAACCATGAATATTATTAAACTCCATAATTCCAGACTCCGTGCTACCACTGAGAATGTTTAAAAACCCGGTAATACTTTGCCTGACCCGGGAATCGAACCCTAGACCCCTTGAGCGATAGTCACACTTGCGACCACTTGGCCAACGAGGCAGTCATATTGACTGACAGACAGACAGCGAGGCTGGATTACGATTTGTAAAAAAAATTACAATATGTAAGTAGTAGATTCTAACCTAGGAAGGTATTGTATTAGTGAAAGCGGTTGTTTAGCGTTTCTAAGTAAAACTGATCAACCAATCATCGGACAACTAAAGTTCTAGCATGAATATTCTAGAAAAGGTATTTCGTAAAGGAAATTCAAGAACCTTGTTTTGTGGCAATCCGAATTTGATATTTCAGCTTTAAGGTTTTAGTTTCAAGGTCAGGATTTAATATTAATCGAAACTATAAAGTTGTAACAAAGTTTATAGTATTGTACAACTGGACAACTGTTAGCCACAAATCGCTTGCCGATCTTCGGTCTAGTTGAGGTATTGTTTAACCACAGTCAAATAAATAAGACCTATTTTGACATTAAACTTTCCTATTCGATGATTCCGAAAATCCAAGAATCGTAGTAAGTAGTTCTTTAAGGGACTTATTAATGCGAAATTGTTATCACTATTGCTTATTATAGTTAGTTCAGATGACCCTTAGGTCAACTAACAATGACCTTTAAGTCATCTTAGTTATTTACTATCAGACAGGTCGTAAGCTCGTCACACCCGTATCCGGAACAACAGTTTGTGGATCACATAAAGAATTGCTTCGTGTGGGAATTGATTCCACGACACATTCCACAGTGGGCTGTTGCACAGCCATAGCCACCACAACTGTGCAGTTTACTGCCAAAACGCTGAATAACATACAAAAATATACTAACGGTTAACATGAAATAACAAGATCTAATGTCCCCTAAATATATCCTCATTTTGTATCCGAACGCTTGTCACATCACTAATGATATTCACACTATTTCCATACCATTTGCACTTTGCAGTAACTCGATCTATGTCAAACCATTTCTCATGATCAATCTCATAGTGAGCTCTGATTTTTATTTCCGCCTTCCAAAAGTTTATACATACGAATGCATTTTAAATAAAGATCCTTGCAATTAAAAATGACAGACTTGGAGTTAAAATTTTAAATAGCGTCATGAGATCACTCAGAAATTCTTGACTAGTATATTGTCTGCCTCGAAGTAAAAGCAAAATTGTCTCTAACAAAATGCATAACATAACATAAAATCACGCCTTTTATCCCCATAGGGGTAGGCAGAGGCGCACATTATGCCACTGTACAATGTAACCCCCACTTTTCACAAATTATGTTATGAGTCCCATGTAATAGGGAGTGAGCCTATTGCCATATACCAGACACATTTCCAGACTCCGTGCTACTACTAAGATTTTTTTAAAAAAACCCTGTATTACTTTGTCCGACCTGGGAATCGAACCCGAGACCCCTTGCCCGGCAGTCGCACTTGCGATCACTCAGCCAATGAGGCAGTCTCTCAAAATTGTCTCTTACAAAATGCAATCCCATTATAAGATGGTTACAAATTAATCCCACGTAAATTGTCTTCATAAATATTCCACACCATCTTAGTAAAATATATCAAGATTCCAGACGCAAGTTAATTATGTCAAAGTATTAGTAACACTCCAATACAGTCTCAAAAGCTTGGGAGGTACACAGTACATGTATCAGACTTAGCAAGTAATTCTACTACGATCTTATCGATATTGCTTCGTCGTTCATCGGAATTAAGCGAACTCGATTTACCCTTACAAGCAATGAATCGAGTTAATCTGCACTGCCCGATCATGCCATCCAGCCAGCAATATAAACTTTTCAAACTTTACCCTGCACTTGATGCGAAAGATAGTAAAGGTTCTTTCAAGTTATGCGAGAATGAGTTTGTTCTTAATTAGAACACACACGTTTTGGTTTGAATTGTTTTATAATAAAATCATCGGCAGCAATAGTGGCTTATGAATAAAATTAAAGCGCTATGTGTAGTTACCGTACGTACGTCTTAGAGTACGATGCACAAATTTTTGTTGCGGGTTTAAATGTAGGTACTATAGGTATAGCGAAGTGTGTCTACAAATGCTAGATGCGTACAAAAGAAAATTATGGTAACGTATTTGTTAAAAAAGTTTTAACCAAAATAAGCAAAAGTAGGTACATCATATCAGACCGTACGCCCCTAAAGTTAAGATTGTATATCCATTGTACCTACATTCTCTTCTACACCAAAATAGGGTTATCAATTCACAGTTTATTGTTACACAAGTAAATAGAATAGCAATAGACGCGAGGCTTTACTTCAGTTGAACCCTAGAAAATCTCGAAGGGAACTTTTCCTCTATAGAGAAACTTCGAAGCGCATAATTTTCAAGTTTTTATTATCATGCTAGAACTGGAACTTAGGTCTTTACTTTGTCGGGATAAAGTTGGATTTAGAATAAAGAATTTTCTAGTTTTATTTGTTATTTTCTGCTCATCTGTAAGTTGTCCTTTGTATAAGGCAAGGCGTACGTCGCTAGTTTTACGATACGCACCAGTTATTTTTTATATCTCAAAGCCTTTTTTATTTTCTGTATTTTACCAATGAATATCCATTCTTACTTAAAATATTGAAACACTAATTTCCATCCATTATAATATATACATATAAAAAAAACAAAACAAACCTATAATCGTCAATTCGTCAACCATTTAAATTCCCCTAGATCAGCCTTGAACCAATCATTCCACAATCAAATCCACAACAATCCAAACGTTAAATAACAAAATAAATCAATATGACTGCACACCTGTACATTGACAAGTACTTTAATCGTGATACTGGATGTATACCTCAAACTAATGCAGAAATCCAATGACACAGGTCCACTATCAATCAATCAGGTGGACACTTGGGACGGGTTAAAAGCCTCGCAATTGAAGGATCCCCTCTCCCCTTCTTGGGTCCAGAAGACCTGCCAAACCGCTAGCACCTGCGACCCATCAACGTCTCCGTAGAATGAAGTTGTTGTTTATTTACTTTGATGGGGTTTTAGTAAAATAGGTTGAGAATTTTCATAAAAATGAGTTGGATTTTAAAAGAGTTAAATTTTTGAACTACATCACGCCTTTTATCCCCGAAGGGGTAGGTAGAGGTGCACATTACGGCACTTAATGCCACTGTACAATGTAACACCCACTTTTCAATATTTATGTTATGAGTAATAGTGTCGTAATAATAATAGTCCCATGTAATAGCCCCTTAAAATTTTTGATGTTTTAATAATACCTATTATCTAGTGTATTTTCACTACAAACTGGTAAATATACAATTTTGGGAAATATGTGAAACGCCGGTTTTTAGAATAATTCTGTTTTCGTTGTTCGTGGTATTGTATTTACGAAACTCTTATATGTTGACTTGAATATTAACGTTACATTTTAGTCAGAACTCTAAAAAAATATTTAAATCTAATACAACAACATTTTTTGTTACAAACCAGGAAAAATGTTTAGGTTTATATAAATAAAACAGATGCACAAGTCATCGGCTCGCGCGTACGTATCGTCGCCAATGTGTTTATTTCTGTCCGCAGAGAACGAGAATCCGAAATAGAAAAGTCCACCGCATCTCTCCGGAGCAGTAACACGCACCGAAACTTAGAATTTAAACGAACTAAAACACCATTTCAGTTTAAAAATCGACATAAAAATATTTAGTGCTTCTAGAGACGTCTATTCACGATGGCGGTTGCGCGTCGAATGGCCGCCATCTTGGTTTTGTTGTTAGCGTTGTTTAATTTAACAGTAGGATGTGACGTTGATGATGTGGCTGTGTACAAAGTGTCGTTGCAAATGTTATGGAGTGAAGAGAGGTTTCCAAAGGATTATCCTCAGAACAGACCGAAGGCGCAATGGTCACAGGTATTTGGTAAGTGTACATAACTACCAAACATATTTATACACAACATTCATGCATACTAAGTATCTATCTGCATACATATACCTAAAGCAGATATTCATGAAAGATTTTTTAAGAGATTCATTGAACTATTTCGGGATGTGTGATATTCAGCATCAATCGTAATTTCAACTCATACAAAACAATAATCGCACATTTCAATTCACTTATATATTATCCTAAAATATATAGAGACAACAAGGCTTTACCTACTTAATACATAACAATAATACGCTTACCGGGATTACGTCGAATATCTTACTTAACTCAAAGATTATATTGAGAAGGAACAATAATAATTATTTGTTATTATTTTCTAAGAGGACTTAACTGTAATTGATATTGTTTGTACGGTATTAGACATAGTATAAAGATTTTCTTTATACTACATAGTATAAAGATTTTCTTTATACTACATAGTATAAAGATTTTCTTTATACTATGTATTAGATGAAAGTTATAATATTCTATGGTTACCTATCTACTTAAGTATGTATGTATACGTATCTATAATAACATTGTTTCTTGACTCATGTAGGTAGCAACAAACTTTGATTATATAGATAAAGAACATCGTAAAAAAATAGGAACTCAAAAGAAATTGTCTGAAAAGGTCTTTATTGGCTAACTTTCTTCCATATATGGGAAATTCTATTCTAGGTTGATTTAAAGATTAAATAATCAAAGATACTATTATAATAGAAACCAGGTAAAAAGTAAACCAGACAAACTTTAAGAAAAATGTAATTAGAACGATTAGATAATTGTGACAAAATTATTGATACCTCAAATTAACAAACTATAACAAATATTGGTTTTCAGGACAAACGTTTTGACGGTCTATCGAATCTAGAACCAAAAGAGAGCAGTTATGCACTCGATATGCCTTTTATGCCTTTTAACGATCTAAATTTTCTTTTTCCTACAACGATTCCCAAAAACAATATAAACAAGTATAAAATTAACTTTAACCGAATAATTATTACTTTAACCGAAATAATAATAGGAAGTAAATAGGTTTAAAAAGGGTCGCCAAGGCGCATGTATATCCCCATGTATTCCAAGCGTTCATAGGCTGTCGCAGAGAACCTAACGGGTAACCGGGGCTCCGGCTCGACGTGCAGGAGAAGGAACGGGGTGGTTTTTAGTCAGTAAGAGTCTGACACTCCCTTCCGCCTCACCTAGACGGGAGCAGTCATTCGATGATTATCCCATAGACCATAGGCCACGGTAACCACTTACCATCAGGTGGGCCGTGTACTTTTCTTTTCCAACGTCGTGAAATAAGAAAAACCTTTGAGTAGTAGAGTTCATCAAGCCAATTCTTTATAGAATAATCATAAACATTTAACCATTAAAACAATTATAAAGAAGCTAACATTAAGCTGATACAAGAACAAAAACTCTTGTAGAAACTAAAAATAAGTTTCCCTTTATCTAAAAGACTAAGTGACGTTTCGCGGTTTTGCTTGTCCAAGATAAGTGGACTATTTATTTGTCCGTCCCGACCGCAAGTACGATCTTATCTAGAACTGTTTTCCCTCGATGTTAGGTAGTCATTGTTTCTTTATTGTGGTGTTTGTTTGTTGTTTATCTGCCTACACCGTTGTGGGGTTAGTGACCTTTTAGTGCTTTTGTTTATAATAGTGTAATACTTTAATTATTGCTATCAAAAAAGAATAAACAACAACATTACATCATGACTTTGATAACCGAAGGAGTGGGCCGAAGTGCCCATATTTTTTTTAAGTGGGGAAAATTATCGAATAGCTGCTCCCGCCTGGATGAGGCGGGAGGGAGTGTCAGACTCTTACTGACTAAAAACCACCCCGTTCCTTCTCCTGCACATCGAACATTACGGTACTTAAAGCCACTGTACAATATGACGCTCACTTTTTAATATTTATGTTAAAAGTCCCATGTAATAGGGGGTGAGCCTATTGTCATATATTACCACAATTCCATACTACTGAGAATTTTAAAAATAAATAACTAGTGAGAAATTAATGTCAAGAATTTTTAACTATAGATAATAATAATGTAAATAAAGTTGTGTAAGTACTCATCCTTAGACTTAATCAATTTCTGTAAGTGGGTATACCTACTAAAAAAGATCAAACAACTCGAATCCTCATCATAGGCCCTCATACATCTATCTTCGTTAAGTACAGAGCAAACAATATCCTTCATGATCCCATGCTCTGAAAAGTCAAACAACAAAGAAGGAAAATGATTAAAACCGAAGACTCCTCAAAGAAATATCTATGCTGTTCAAAGACTCCGACCGTGACCAGAAAACAAAGTTGTCTCCATTATATTATGAGAGTAAAAGATATTGAATTATCCGCGAGAGGGTATAAATCTTCTGTTACGTCGGTATTTGAAAAGCATTTGTCCTTTTTTCGACGCAAAAAATCCTTTTGTCTGTTTTCAATCAAAAAGGGGCGGATGATAGGGTTGACACTCGTCAAATTTATCCCGAAATCTATTTCGTGCTATATTGTCACGTGAGCGTATTGAAATTTCAGTTCGCAAATAGGAAATAAAAAACGGTTTTATGGCGACACCCTATACATATAAGCGATAATAAAAAGATACTTGTTTGATTAAAATTTTAGTTGAAATTTAAAAACATTTGAGATACTAAAATTTTACTCAGCGCTACTGTTTGCTCGCTTTAATACCATTATAAATACCATCTATACGGTTTAAATAAAATTACATTGTCTGTTTGTAATATTAAAATAACCGCTTTTTACTACATTCATATGAATATACATACGATACACATACCAAAATAACATTTTTTATTTTTATTGTCTATCTGTCTGTTTGTACTGACATATCTCGGGAATGGCTGGACTGTAATCGATTTTGTAAGACTTTTAATATTTTGTAAGATTTTGTAAGGCAGTTAGATGATGTACTAAGGAGTTTTGGAAAATTAAACAAAAAGGAAAATACGTTCTAAAATTCTATTCATGCGGGCTACGGCTAGTCATAAACAATTTGTAGTTCGATAATATTAGACAAGCTTGTTAACCTAATCTTTAAGTACCTTTAGTATCAGGGCTTTTAAAGCAACTAAATGAAGAAAGTTTCCATTTCCAAGCGTTTATTTTCGTCCAATCAAATTAATAAGGCCTTCAGATTTATTCATATTAATGTTTAGATTATTTAACGTGAAATTCCTTGTTAAATTATATTATTCATTTACAAAACTAGAACGACTTTCCTTCTCAAGTAATTTGGAATTTATTAGCGAATTTTCCTTAGCTAAATAACCTGTATAAATTATAATTATTGATGAACTGTGTTGCTAACTTGGTTGCTGAGCGAAAAATTTAAGAACAAGTAAACTGCTTGCGATAAATCCTCTTTCGCTAAATGGTTCTTATGAATCAAAAACGAGAAATAAGGTAGATGACTAATTTTTATTTTAATGTCTGTCTGGTAGATTATTTATAAACATTATACGCGTATTTTTTATTTTCTTACGGAAACAAATAATTTGGAATTTATATTGATTTCAAACATAGCATGGCGTCACTTTTGAGTACGATGAATACTCTAAAATGTCGTAGCTACATCCCACTGCTAAACTTTGATCCGTTTTATCTAAGTATTGTTTTCTTATACCATAAAATATTTTAACTGTCTAATATTTATTCATTACCTAACTGACGGACTAATTAGATTTTTAATTTTCATACCCTGTCAAATCAAAATATCTCCTGTACAAATCCAGATGAAACTTGCTTTTCTTCAAATACAATAAATAAACTAATAAATAATCTGTCGCATTTTCGGCAGCCCTATCTCAACACAATATGAGGTAGCCCTTCAGAATCAGAGTCTCTAAGACACATGTTACATCCAAATAGCATTACGGCTGAACTTTTACCTGACTTGCCTCAAGTAAACAATGTTACATACTTTGAGAAAGGGTCTCACATATTTCTTGTCTCCATACAATTCACGGTCTGTCTTATACCTTATAGGAACCTTTCGTTGGCAAAAAGTTATATGTATTCGGTTCTCTAGATTTTTCTCTCATAGGATATTTTAAGGGGGGAAAAGCATCGAATAACTTCTCTCCGGGATACCCCCCGGCTCACCCAAGCGGGAGAAGTCAAACTCTTATTGACTAAAAACCACTCCCTTCCTACTTCTGCACTTCGAACCGGAGCCCCGGTAATTTTTTACGTTCTTCGCAGCTCCCTCTCATAGGTTTGTAGTGTTCATATTATCTATCATGTGATAAATAAAACGTCTGTCACCACTTCTACTCTTCCCATGATTCTATGAAATAACATAACATAACATCACGCCTTTTTATCCCCGAAGGGGTAGGCAGAGGTGCACATTTCGGCACTTAATGCCACTGTACAATGTAACACCCACTTTTCACTATTTATGTTATGAGTCCCATGTAATAGGGGGTGAGCCTATTGCCATATACCGGGCACATTTTTCCAGACTCCGTGCTACTACTGAGATTTTTAAAAACCCAGTAATACTTTGCCCGACCCGGGAATCGAACCCGAGACCCCTTGCCCGGCAGTCGCACTTGCGACCACTCGGCCAATAAGGCAGTTCTATGAAATACAGTTTATATTTTCTTTTTTATATCATCTTATTTTATTGAGTCTAGTGCAACAAGTGTAGGTTCCACAATTAGCAACAGCAACATTGCTTGCTACTTCTATAAATTGGTGAACTACATACAAAACCTCACGCCTGAACACATTCGTGAACTATGGATTTCAATATCGCTTTTTCTTTTAGATAAGTATTCTAGCCAGTTATTCTTTTGCATTTATACCCCTTTATATTAGGAATATCAAGTCTATTTTTACTAAGAAACTGATCACAAAATCACGTAATATCAATAACATTTTTAAACAAACTCTATTGAAGCTTTGAAAATCCAAATCTTTCTCAACCGCACAATACTGTTATTAAACCAA